TATTTATTTTTATATTTACATGTAAGCAGTGCAGTCGACCAAGGTGTGTTAAGTTTAGTACATTTCAGATACATGAGAGATCAAGGAATGATCATTCTGGAATTATTTGAAATAGAATTAATCTGTGTTTTAAGACTTAATAGCAGCTTCCACATATCACGTATTGTGATGCAAAGCCTACTCCTGAAGTAGTGCCTAAGAGAGGAGACTTGACCATAGCATAATGATTTAGTAGTACCTTTAGTTTTGCAGAAAATGTGCCTGCATCAATTCATGTGTGGCCTCTAAAGACAAAGTTATAACGACTGTTTTCCATGCACTTCCTTTCAAAGAGCACACTTAATCCAGGAACATTTTGCAGTTTGAAGTCTAAAGCTTTTAAACCCCTTTTTGAATGGTTTAAATTTGTAGCCTTATTTATTCTTGTCCTAGTTTAACTGTTTTGATAAAGCTCCAGTTTTCATGTTAAGCCACACTCTTCCCCCCACCCTTTTTTTGTTGGAGCATTGCATTTTGAAGACTTAACACTGGTGGCATTCTAAGAAAATGGTAGACAATTTATTGAGGAGGGCTGATAGCTCTGCTCCTGCCATTATACAACACAGGACAAAAGGGTCTTGAGGGGAGTTAGTTTAACTGCATTGCTAGAGTTTCACTATGGGAGGGAGAAAAATATTAGTGTAAGCTATTTTTGCCAACCTTGCAAAGTATACAGTGCTTTTCTCCACCAAGAAGGCCCTGTAGCTGTGGGTTATGAATCTAGCAGCAAGGGTTTTATTTAAGTGAGGGTGGGAATGGTGGCTGGAGCGGGGAAGCCATGGGGCTAACTTTCAGGGGGGCATTGGGAAAAGAAAACACATAGGACAATTCCAGGCTAAGCAGTATTTTACATAAAGTTATTGGCCCATTAGTTGTAAGTATTCCAGATACATTAATAAATGTTCTTTTTAAAATAACGATCAGTGTAACGTCTTCTTGCTGAAGTTTTAGAATATCACAATTATCAAAGAAACATTGTTCAGAAATTGTGGCGGTGACATTTCCAGTCCTCAAGTTCGTGTTACCGCCACCATTAAACTATGAACTCCATTTAGTGAGGCAGGGACAAAAAGGCAGCCAGAACCCACAAAGAAAACTCATGAGAAATAGATATTTGCTTTTGCTGGCAAACGGCCTTCTCTGGTTACACTGCAAAACCTTACAGTAGGCTACGCTAGAGCCTTCTTTTAGCAACCCGCATTGACATAGCAAGTTCCACATTAATCAGCCAATAGAGTTGGAACACACTATTGCCTTCCTGTCCTTTCTCCACCACCATCACGCCACTCTCCCCCTTCCCCCTGCCAGATGTCAGCAGGTGTTTGCATTTTATCTACTAGAACAGGGGTGGGCACTCATTTTTGTCCCGGGGCCACTTAAAAAAATTTTCAAAGTAGACCCAGGCTTCCCCGGAAGGGGCAGGGCCTAAATGGGAAGGAGTGGAGCTACCCCATCGCCAGACCATGATTGGTCAGGGGGTGGGGGAGCCCCTCTGCCCCCAATTCCCACACGGCACTCAT